CATTTATTTATTTATTACAAAAGTAACACATCTGTAGTGCACTTAACTTTATTTTCTACACACTACGCTTGGGGCTCCATATTAAGCTGATCGTTCAAACCCTAAACTTTTCATTATGAAAAAATACACAGATCGCTTATCCACTGATTGACAGGTTTCTCTGATGGTTGTCTCCATCATTCGTTTTAAATCTACATAAAACTCCTTCCAAAAGTAAGAAATAATGTTTTCCCTGTAAGATTTTCTGCAGACGGAAAATTATTGCTCAGATCGGCTTCACACAAACATGTAATGCAGCCCCCCTCCCTGCTCCAATCCCGACACAATCTCCAGCTTTACACCACCGCCACCTCCGGGAGAAACAGGGAAGGATCACCGGGATCGGAGAGCCTCGGCTGACACGTTTAAATCTCTTTAAACGTTTCTTTTTTAATCCAAGCGACACAATCCGTGGTCACGACGGTGGTGCTAGATATCAGGAGGCCGGTATGGGGGAGCACACGGCGTTTCTGCTCTTACTGGTGGCGACCTTGACGCTTTCATCTGAGGTGAGCATATAGCGGAGAAACCGCAGCCTGTGGCGGGGTGTTGGCGAGCTGTTCCCAGGCTCCGATAGGCTGCGGCGGGCCTGTCGATAGAAACGGTGGAACCGATGTGGCGCATTAAAATAACGGCTATAACGTAGATGTAACGGCTAAATCGTAGACTGTATAAATAATACAGGTTGCCTTACTTATCTGACAGATGTAACACGGTTTATTATACTAATTATACTAATAAACGGTATCCACTTATATTTAAGCTTACAAAATGATTTCTTCTAAGCATTTATAAGATCTTTTATCAGGGGCTCATCTCGATAACAGGCCTGTTAGAGCACACAGATTTACTGCGTAGGATAAACAGTCACATCAAAGTCCAGGCCTACCGTTAGATGTCAGGGATTGACAGCTAGGTCTTTGTTGCCATGTTGGATGTTTTTAATCTGGTTCGAAATATTTTTGGAATCCGCTCATAAATCTTCCTTAATAAAGGTTATTTTTCTCAAACATATTCAGATGCAGGGCTCAAGTCAGCTAACGTCTGCTAGCTTTATTCTATAAACTTTAATAACAGCTTTGGCTTCTGCTAAGAAAAAAAAACAAAAAAAACAAGATTTCTACGTCAGTTTGGTCTTTTGAAGGTTACACGACACGACGGACATTTCACTTTTATTTGGAAATATCCAGCCTTTACTATAAACAGCATGGAGGGTTTTACCAAAGCTATTGTGCGATAGCTGCGGGCTAGTGGTAAACTGCTGAGGAGAATGGAAAAAAGATGCAGACCGATTAGTTTCACTCAGCAAGATGGCGCCTGTAGCTCCTGTGCTGCTGCTGCTGCTGCTGTGCTGGACCAGAGATGCTGCTCTGCCCAGGCCTGCATGCCTACACCGTACATTACCAGAGTTAACATGACATTTCTGATGTAATTTTTGAGTAATACACATTTAGGGTCTCAAACTCTCTATTGTGGAGTGAAGTTTAAGATTTACTTCTATTTCAACCCACTAAGTAACAGCCTAAATATCACTCAGTATAAAATGCCTGCACTTAAAGCAAAATTCTCATTTTTCATTCTAAAAACTGACCATTTTAAGTGTTCTTTAAAACGGGAAATCTTGTATTGTGTTTATTAAAATATTTATTAATGGTGTCTCCACTTAGGTCCAACATATGCATAGTTATTACTACATTAATCCAACAGTTTACTAGATGTAAGGCTATGAAGAGAAACAAAAACTTTGTAAAACTTCATTTGAAGCCAAAGGCTTTCTTCACAAAAACAACAAAAAATGGCACAAGGACAGAACACCTTATACTGTAAAGTGTCTCCATAGTGAGGCTCTACATTATATTATGGATTTATGGTTATTGCCGCATTACAGTATTAAATATCAGCATTGCAAAGAACTATTAACTGAAATACTAATTGTATGCAAGCACCATTCTCTCAGTGTCTCTATGCCAGTTAGTCAGATGTATTGTTTAATGCAGTAGAAATTCTTTTAGTAGGGAAGTATGATAATCTATTAAAGTGATTAAGAAACTGACATTTTTTATCTGAAACCATCAGATAAAACCAGCTTCAAAAATCTTAAGATGAAAATATTAAACGTGACTGTTTTTCTAGTAGTGGATATAACACTATGTCTCCAATGAACCTAAATCAAAAACATATGAACATTATTTGTGTATTTATTGGAAGCCATAATATCACTATGGGTGAAGAAAAGGCCAACCAAAGTGATGGTGTTGAAAATACTGGAGTGCTAAGGTAGTACCATCTTAAAGCTACAGTTAGCAGCATGTCTGTTAGGTAGCATGTGCAGTCAACGCTACCTGGCTGTCCCTGAGCAGGTAGCTCGGCTAATCAACCAGCCATGAGTGGCTTAGGCACAATGCTTAGCATTGTGCCTAAGCATGTCAGCTTCCCAAGAAAAAAAACAATAAATTAATATTGCATTTAATCCTTATAACCAGGTGTAATTAGAAGTAGTTTTTGCTTTTCAGTTTTCTTAAATAAAAGCAATAATAAAATTTTATAAAACATACTAGATGATTTCTGCAATGTGAGAAACCTGCTGGGCCCAAGCTTTCTGAAGGCTTTTTCTTAGACTTTGTCATTTTTTTGTTGTCATTTTATCAATGAAGTCTGTAGCCTCATTATGATAACATAATGTTGCTGTGCAATTGTTAAAATCAAGCAAGTAGATAGTCAGACCTGAAAGTAATAGTATGTCAGAAGATAAGTATTTTCCGGAGAGGAGACGTGTCTTTCATCATCACTCAGTTAACAGTCTGCTGTAGCTTCTGTGCTGAGCCATCTAAAAATCATGTTGTTGATGGTACAAATGCTATTTAATGTGTATCAAACTGTGTGTTCATAGTATTTTTAATAACTTTGACAAATGCCTTTGAACAAATTTGTTTTGTGTATTTGTACAGATAAAGTACCGGTATCTTCAACTTAGGTGTTCATATGCTTGGATAACTCAGAGCAGTTCAACAGCTAACAAAGCAAAGTGAAAGAAAAATAAATCACTCTTCTGAAAAAGCTCACAACAAGAATGTCTTAAAAAAAAAAGTAATAAAAAAAAGACACAAAAAAAAGGATGAACATCTTATGTGTATCAGGTGTGACTCAAGAAGAGTTACTGTTTTTAATTTTGCTCGTTACCATTATACAACATATATAGATGCTTTGTGGCAGCTAGGCTCGGGAATGTGTTTTGATTTTTGTAATCCAATTGCACCACCTCATTTCAATGGTTGGCTTATTATTTTTGATATTTTTAAGAAGGCACTCAGTGGAAAACTACTACAAACACAACAAAAGCTGTTACTGAACATAACTTCTTCAACTTTCAAAGGTTGCCGCTCCTTAACCGCCACCCTTTGTTGTTTGGCTATATGCAAAAGCCAGTCTGACAAGTTGTATTTGTGCAAATAAGGCAGGGGAATTTTGTTGACATTACATTTCAGTGTTTACAGATGCTTTAGGATTCTTACTTGAAAGCCATTATGCTGTACAGCATACAATAGACAGCTTAGCATTGAATGCTGGAGTTATTGGCAGATGAAAACAAATATAAACTGTAAAATATGAACTTGGACCACACACATTCGATTCAGTGACCGACGTTATGCAACTTGCCTCTCACGTTTGATTAGAGCTGCAAATAAAAAACATGTTTTGCATTCCTATCTATGCATAAGCATAGATAGGAATGTTTTGCCAGATTTGTGAGGTCCGGAAAGTAACACTCAAAATGAACGCAATCATTTCACACATTTGGTGGTCTGTAAATGGATAGAATAGTTTATTTACTCATGATTGTGCTGATTGTCCTTTTTGTTCGCTGCTGTCTGCTAAAGCCCTGTGGAGCAGTGCTGCTTTGTTGTTGTCTACTTTCACTTTCTCCAATTTTGAAGGTTCTAAGATAGCCATAACAAAAAATACCATCTTCCCGTGTTTTTGTTATGATTTTTATCTCTTGGGTGCCCAGGTTCCAAAGAACAAAGGACTTAATTTTTCTTGGCTGAGAAATGTCTTCCATTTCCATTGATAAATATGTATCCTGTACAATTCGGCTGAAAAAACAAAAACAAAAAACAAGTCTGTAAAATGTAAGCTTATGAAAAAATAGAAAAACGTGCCATAATCTAGTTTAAATCATTTCACTAAGGCTTTCTTGACGCACCTTTTGATTCAGTTTAAGCATCCAGTCCTCTACTATACTTGGTAATATTTGCCCACTCTAACTTGCAGAAGATCTCCAAATTGATCGGACTATCTATCATTCTTCATCCTCTCATAAATCTTCTGTTACATTCTGGTTAGACCATTCCAACTGTTTTTATTGTTTGTAAACTGTCTGCAAACTCTGGCTTTAGTTATAGGATGCAAATAAGCAAATCTCAAGAATTTCTTGAGAATTTAAATAATTTAAATAAATTATTTACAGTTAATTTAATTCTCCATATTTAATGGCAGGTGTGTCCGCAGCAATGGCAAATTATGAAATTGCATCCAAAGAGTTGAATGGTGTGAGCACTTAGCAACCAGCTTATTGTAGCTCAAAGTATTAATACTTATTAATTCTCAGTGGTTTTTCACTGCTGCCATCTTTCTCACTCAGGTGCCCATGGACGACTCTGTGGGTTTGCTAACTGAGCCTCAGGTGGCCATGTTCTGTGGGAAGTTGAACATGCACATCAACGTACAGACTGGGAAATGGGAGTCTGACCCATCTGGCACCAAGAGCTGCATTGGCATCAAGGAGGGCATCCTGCAGTACTGCCAAGAGGTACTGAGACAGAATGTCACTACAGATAGACTGGGAACAGAGAGGAGGATGAACAGAGATCCCACATAAAGAACAGAAATGCAAATAATGGCATATAAAATGCTTTAAAATCACATTTCTTTAATCAGGTGTACCCAGATCTACAGATCACAAATGTTGTCGAGGCCAACCAACCCATCAGCATTCCCAACTGGTGCAAGAAGGGTCGCAAGCAGTGCTGGAGTCACACACACATCGTGGTGCCGTACCGCTGCCTGGGTAAGCAGCTGGGTTGCTGCAGCTGTGGGTAGCTGAGGGATGATGTTTGAAGAGATGAGTGTCCAACGGTAACCTCATGACTGTGTTGCAGTCGGGGAGTTTGTCAGCGACGCCCTGCTGGTTCCCGACAAGTGCAAGTTCCTGCACCAGGAGCAGATGAACAAGTGTGAGAGTCACCTGCACTGGCACACTGTAGCCAAGGAGGTGAGGATGGACAGCAGGCGCTGCCGGGCTTCACACGGTTTATCGTCACTTATCTTATCTCGTTTTGGCTTTTTTTCACCCAGCCTGTACTTTTATCAGTTTCAGACTTACTCCGCCACTGTCCTGCTGATATGCGTGCCCCTTATCTTTTTGAAAAAAAATTTTTACATTCTGTTGTATGTCACTTACTGAATTATTTAAGCAATGTTGAAATCATAACCTCATGCAGGCTTAAATGTCACAACTGGCTTTTAGAACGTATCCACAAAGTGTCTGCACATCCTTAAAAAGTCTTGAATTCATGTATCTAAAGTTAAGGCCTTAAAATGTCTTAAATTTATTAGAAGAATGTAAGTCTGCACTAAATATGTTAACCATAAGTCTTAAATTTTGTCTTGAAAGGACTGTTTAATCTAATTTATTCTATGTATTTTTCTCATGGGACATTTCTGTCAGGCACCTTTATTGCATTATGTGACTTGCTGCTAATGTACCCTGCTAGCTCCCTAGTTAGCTTTTTTGCCTCTATCATGGGTGAGTGCAAATTTACCCAGCTGGCTGGACGAAGATTGTAGATTTCTTCGGCGATACTGGTCTTAAGTTCCATTCACAGTGGTCTTAAAAAAAAGTCTTAGAAAGTCTTAAATGTCAATCGGTAAAAGCTACAGAAACCTTAATTCAGGTTTATGTGGTGTGGCTTTTGGACGCCGTTTTATGCAGCTCACTAACTGAAGACTTCTTTTATTCAGTCTTGTGGAGACCGCTCAATGAATCTCCACGACTACGGGATGCTGTTGCCGTGCGGCATTGATCGTTTCCGAGGCGTGGAGTTTGTGTGCTGCCCGGCGGAGGAAGAGCGCAAGTCGGACAGCGCGGAACAAAACGAGGAGGAGTCTGACGTCTGGTGGGGCGCAGCCGAGAACGAATATTCTGACAACAGGTACATCACATCGGCGCTCACCTGCACACATCTGCACCCGTCTGCCCACGCAAACACTGACTCGGCTCCTCCGTCGGCAGCATGACGCGCCCGGCGGACACGCAGCCGGCCGCCGCCGAGGACGAGGAAGACGAGGACGAGGAGGAAGACGCTTTCGAAAGGGACGAGGACGGAGACGGAGATGAGGATGATGAGGAAGACGACGACGACGTCATCGATGAGCGGGATAGCGACGAGCGCAGCTCCAGCGTCGCCATGACGACCACCACCACGACCACCACTGAATCTGTTGAGGAAGTTGTGCGAGGTGAGGCCTGAGGCTGGGCGCCTCCTCCCTGTTGATCCACTTTATTTCATTTTGACGTTTTCCATCACATTCAGAAGCTCCATTCCTGCTTTGACGTTTGTTCCAATGTGCCTGTGTGTGTGCGTGCGTGTGTGTGTACGTAACCTCAGCGGTGTGCTGGGCCCGCGCCGATTCAGGCCCGTGTCACGCCATGCTGGAACGTTGGTACTTCGTCCCCAAAAAGGGCCGCTGTGCTCCCTTCCTTTTCGGGGGCTGCGGGGGCAACAGGAATAACTTTAATTCGGAGGAGTACTGCCTGGCTGTGTGTAGCAGCTCGTGTAAGTCCTTCCTGACTGGAGCCGGACCACGAAGTGTCCACCTCACCGGCCTGATCCCTGTCCTCAGGCTGCCGCTGCTGACCATCTGTTTCCTCTTATTCAAGTACTCTATAGTCGCTCTGATCCCTCCTAACCACTCAGAGCTCTGACTCTGTATAGCCTTGTCTTGTGTTGAGCATGAAATGCCATCGTCCGTCACGCCTGTCTGCATTCTTTTTCTTTTATGCCAACTAATCTAAGGGGATTAATCTTAATCTTTTAGTTCAGCTGAAGTCAGCTCAGTTAAAATTTTGAGATTTTACAACACGTGACACGCCGACACGTGATTCTCATCCAGTTAACTGAGACGTTCTTAATTTTCCCATAATTGTCGAAATAAGACACCACATTTCATCGCATTACACTCACTCACTCAGCAGACACTCCTCCTGCTGCAATCTCTCCCTTGTTCTCCTTGCCAGTTTTTCTGGCAATGCATTATTTTCATTTGTCTGAAGTGCTAGGCCAATGCTAGTTTGTTTGCTTTTTGAATTGTTGGTTGTTTGACTCATAACCTACTTGCATTACAGTTCCAGATGATGATGCGTAGATAAAAACATAAAGCAAAACTTAGCTGTTGTGCTGCTGTATACAATGTATTGTTTATAAAATCTGACTGCTGTTTCTGCTGCTGTTTTTATTATTCTCCTTCACCCTGAAGACTCTATAAGACCCAGAGTTAAAATATTACATCTCTTTTTCAAACAAAACACTTAACAAATATTGACTTTTTTTTTTTTTTTTTTTTTTTTACCCAAACTTGGATATTGAACCCTATTGTTGGAATGCTATTGGATTGAAAATTAGAAATAACTTCAGCCCACAGGGTCACAAAATATCACAACTTGAAAAAAGAAAATCTCTGCGATTCACTGTAACATGATCATTCAGAAAGAAGTCATTTAAATGATTCTTCAATTGTACAACGTATGATCATATGTAACAGTTCCATAAAGCCTTCCAAACGCAATAAAATCAGACCGCATCCCATTTACATCTCCTATAAAGCCATCTATAAAGTTGAACTGTTTTTTTCCGCCCCACGTCTTTGTGTCTGGGTGTTCCAGGCTGGAGGGCCTTTTTCATTGTGAATGTATTTGAAAAGGGTGGACAATCCTATTGATTCTCTGGGAAAACCCATATTGCTTAAATAAACAAAATAACGTGCACAGGCTTACAAGGCAGGTACACACACACACACACACAAAAAAAAAAGCAGGCTGCGATTTAAAGACAATCTTCCTGCTGCTCAGCTCCTGGGTGTGTGTCGCACAAAATGACAGACAGCAGACCAGCTGTGGGTGTCTTCAGCTGAGTTTTGTAATAGATGCCGAAACCAACCCTGTAATAGAAGTAATTGCGACAACGTAAAAGAGCCGTTTGACTGCTTTCAGGTTTTTATTTGGGAGCGTGGGTTAATTATTTAGCCTTGGGTGTCTTTAAGAAAAGCATAAAGGTGGTAATATCAGCAGGAACAACCTGACCTTGGGAAGGAAATCTAACAGACACCCCTCTTTACGTCACTTTATTAGTTTCAGGGCAGGAAAATTCTTTTAGGCCCAGGTTGTGAAATACTTCTGGATGTCTATATAACTGCTTTTGACTTTATGTGCTTTTATCTGGCTGAATTAGAAAAAATGTTAAATGAAGGGGGAAAAAAAATGTTAACTTCAGTGTGTGCATCACAATAACATTAACGTTTTATTCATTTAAAAGCATATGGAAAGTTATAGTTTTGCTCGGAATGTTATGAGATGAAGGATAAACAACCGATGATTGCAGCTGTTAAATTCTTTATTTTTTTTTGTTTTGTTTTATAGAATAATATCACCTTTTACCAAGTGTATTATTTTATAACTGTTTTGTCTTTAAAACACAGTCAGCAGTTGGGCTTTTGACATTTGAACCCCAAAGTCGGAGAACAGTGCTAAGACGTTGCGTAAAAAGGAAGCAGTGGGTCAATCAAGGATAGAGCCCTTTTGACAGACACGATTTATATTTAAATCCATGTCATGTAATTATTGCTGACCTAAATTACTAACTCTTCTTCCAGCATGAAGACAAAGAGGTCTTGTCTGCGTCTGCATGCGTTTCGACTCATGTGTCTGCATGCTTTGCTCTTTACAGTTGTTACTCTCTGTCTGTCTGTGTCAGCTGAGGGCTCATAGCTGAAAGAAGCTGTGAGCGAAAGAACTGTTGGCGCAGTTTGCCCTGATCTTGAGTCAGCGTGTTGCAGCTTGTCTGCAAGAAGCCCAAAGATTATTAATTTTTTTTAGAAATCTTATCACTTCATGTCTTGTCATAGCCTTTGTGTCAGTTACTAGATTGTGAAACACTTCTGGATGTTTATATAACTGCTTTTATGTGACTAACTGCTTATCAGTGAAAACAAATTATGCCTTTCCCCCTAACTTCTCGCGCCATCTTTTGTATACAGTACACAGTCCGCTCTGGATTCATTCCTCTCATTTCCCCTCCCCATTCAGTGCCCACCATAGCGCCCAGCCCCCCGGATGCAGTGGATCAGTACCTCGAATCGCCCGGGGATGACAACGAGCACACGGATTTCCGAAAAGCCAAAGAAAGCCTTGAGGCCAAACACCGTGAAAAAATGTCTCAGGTGCGTGACTTTACATCTGAAACACCCACACATGGATCGTTCTTGTCCCAAGGAATGTAATCGTAAATTTGTTGATTCTCAGGTGATGAGGGAGTGGGAGGAGGCGGAGAGACAAGTGAAGAACCTTCCTCGTTCAGATAAGAAAGCTGTAATTCAGGTGGGACTCAAGTGTTTGTTTCCGTGAAATGAAAGCAAAGTTTTTTTGTCAGGTAAAATCGGTAAACTGATTGCAGTTTTCTGGCCGATTACTGATCTTTAAAAAGCCTGACCTGCCGATTCCGACTTTGGCAAATACTGGTGTTTTTGTCTGAAATGTTGCTAAACATAGAAAGAAAGCCACTGAGTTGTCAACAGGCAGTTAAAACTTTCTCGTGGTAGAACAAAACATGTTAGACTACTGTCGAGATAGATTAGATCGATGGATAAGATCGGCTTCACATATAATTATCGACCGATCACCGATCTCCCAAAATTAACGAAACCTTGGCCGATTTGTCGGTGCACCCTTACTTCCTGTGACTCAAGGTGATTTATGCGACCACTTACTGTCTGCTAATATACCCTTACTAGCTACCAAGCCTTTCTGCATCTATCACAGATCAGTGTAAATTTACCGCCAGTTGGCTGGACAAAATCTGTTCATTTCTATGGAGGTATAGGTCTTAAATTCAATTCATAATGGTCTTTTTAAAAGATCTTAAAGCCTCTTAAATTTGAGTTGGTGAAACCTGCAGAAACCCTGACACCAACTGACTGGGTTTCTGAAACGTTTCGTGCACGCAGCACTTCCAGGAGAAGGTGGAAGCCCTGGAGCAGGAGGCTGCAGAGGAGCGGCAGCAGCTGGTGGAGACACACATGGCCCGGGTGGAGGCCCTGCTCAACAGCCGCAGGCGCCTGGCTCTGGAAAATTATCTCAGCGCCCTTCAGGCTAATCCACCTCGGGTACTTTTGCAAGTTCACATCACACCTACAGAACCACATTTTAAGTAGACTTTCCTGTAAACGTAATCACGTGTCATCGTCCCATCTCACAACCACAAACTTCCACATGTTTTATTAGGTATTTATTTGATGGGCCAAAACAAACGTCGTGCATCACTGCAGTAGTAAAAAGAAAGTGAATATCTCAAAAGTGTGGCGTGCATTTGTGTACTCTTAATTGAAATCCCTTTAAAGCCATTCACGGTTTTAGGATGGGAAGCATGTGGAAGAAGATGCTCAGGTTAGATGAGGCCAAAAATTAAATATCATAGTTTACAAGCAAATCATTCTGTGTGACTGAAAGTAAAGTTATCGCTCAGACACACCATCCCCACAGAGACACACGGTGGTGACAGCATTATGCTGTGGGAAAATTTCTTTTCAGCAGTGGCAGGGAATGCCTCTGCTAAATTTTAGTTCACAAAATCCCAATTAAATGAACTGAGGTTTGTGGTTGTAATGTGACAATATGTGTAAAAGTCTCAGGAATGTGAATGCTTTTTAAAAGATACTGCATCCGAGTGTAGAGTTCCCGTTTGTACCCTACTAATCAAGAATTGGCACGAAACACGTACACGTTTAATGGCTGGTGTCACCGACAGCCGCGACAGGTGCTGAGCCTGCTGAAGAAGTACGTCCGTGCAGAACAGAAGGACAGGCAGCACACACTGAAACACTACGAACACGTCCGCACCGTCGACCCCAAGAAGGCCGCTCAGATCCGCCCTCAGGTGCTGAAACCTATACACCACAACCACCAAGTAAAAGTAGGATATCTTTACTTTCAAGAGTTTTGACTCTGACCTCTATTTTCACCTTTTGACCCTTAGGTTCTGACTCACCTTCGTGTGATTGAGGAGAGGATGAATCAGTCTCTAGGTCTGCTCTACAAGGTGCCCAGTGTGGCCACTGAGATCCAAAAACAAGTTGGTAAGTGTTCCTAATGACGGTGTCTGGACTCACTTTGTCACACAAATCCTCTGCACTTAAAGAGATTTGTTAGGAGAACACATATTTTTTTTACTGACTGTTTGCAGTAATTAGCTGCAAGCCTAATTCTAAAACTAACATGACGCTAATCCCAAGCAAAAAAAAAAAAAAAAAGACTCTTATTGCAGTCGGCGGAGATTTGACGACTTAGCTTTGTTTTAAATCAGTGGAAATCTAGATACCATGAGAAGGTTGTTAGACCGATTTCAGGTGATAGAAACTCAAAGTAGGAAGTAGCCATGGATTAGATACTTGCTTTTTAAAGGTTTTTACAAATAAAAATCTCACAGTCCATAATCAGAAAACGCTAAGACTACGGGATCACAGTCAACACACCAAGACATGACATGCTGTAGACATCCACAGCTCAACTGGACAAATGTAAGTCATACAGGCCACAAATCAGGCTTTTATGAAAAGGCTTTCCTTCTCTGTTTGAAGGAGACGCCACAAACCACAGGCTGCTCTGGTCAGAAGAGACCAACATTAACTTTTTTTTTTTTTTTTGCCTCTGTTCAAAATACTGAACCATGAAACACAGTGGTGGCAGCATCGTGTTGTGGAGAAGATTTCTTCTACATTGAAGCTGTTTCCAGTTCAGTTTCCAGCTGGACAATAACCTGTAAACAGACAGCCAGCACTACAATAGAATGGAATGGATAAGATCAACACATTCTTGTGTTCAAATGGCCTAGATCACAGGTGTCAAACTCCAGTCCTGGAGGGCCTCTGCCCTGCAACTTTTAGCTGTGCCTCTGCTGCACCACACCTGAACAGAATAATTGGGTCATTAGCAAGGCTCAGGAGAACCGATCTACACAAGGAGGAGGTAATTAAGGCATTTCATTCCAGTGTTTTGTACCTGTGGCACATCTAAAAACTGCAGGACACTGGCCCTTGAGGACTGGAGTTTGATACCCCTGGCCTAGGCAAAGCCCAGCCCTCAAAACCAATTCAAAATCTGTGCCAGTGCTCAGAGTTTCTCCATCCAATCTCACCGAGTTTGAGCTAAGTAGGGAGGAAGACATCAGCCTCCAGAAGAGTAAAGCCAGTCGAGATAAACCCCAAATGACTCACAGCTACAGATGAGTAGCAAGTATTGACTCAGTGGTTTGAGCTACCTTGTGGTTGCAATAAGATGTAAAAACAAATCTTAAGAGAGGCAGTTTATCAGATTCGGAAGTGATTAGGTGCCAACTTACGCAACATTATCTTTTCACCGTACAACCAGAAAAAAAAAAAAAAAAAAAACTAGTTCTGCTCTCACTGATACAGGATTATGCTGGTTCCCTGTGCTTAATCAACTGGAGTCCAATATAAAAATAGTGAACTGGCAGTCATATAATTTAAGAGTTCAACTGTGTTAAAATTGTGCCACAGTATGTGATTGACTTGCCGCATAAAGACATTGAGACAACACTGTGCTGCACATGGATGGATTAATCACTTTGCGAGGAGGTTTATGAAAGTTTGAGGCGGTGGATGAATCAGGCGCGCCATATGTGGCGCGTGTGGGAGATTTGGTAAGGACAGAGAATGAATCCAATGTTAGATTCCCATTGCCATCACTAATTTATTAGACGTTTTCTTTGGAGAGCAAAGAGGTCATCCTAACCCTACAGCAACAATAAGACATTATATCTTTTTAAATATTGATGTTACATTGACAAATTGTCAGGATGAAAGAATCTGAATTTAGGTCATTTTACATCCTATTGCCTGCTGTAAGGCAACTCTAAGTTCAGTTCAGTTAGCATGGCGCCGTCATGCTAACTGCTTTCACTCATTTACCCACTCCCACTGTCTCTGCCTTCCACGCTCACTTTGTTTCTTTCCCTTCCAGCGATTATAGTGCAGAGAGTCCAGTCTGAGCTGTCTCAGCAAGTCTCTTCCCTGCAGAGCGACGGGCGGGTGAGTCAGGCTGCTCCCACTCACATATGTCTCCTGCATGTATAAATAGCGTTAAAGCCAAACAATATGACAGTTGGGACAAAGTCACGAAGCACAAGGAAACTTTAAATGCTGACGTGGCGCAAAAAATAAAAGCTGAGCTCCAAACAAATCTATCAGACTGTGGGGATCACAGATTTAGGAGAATTTATTCCGTGTTTTTGTGTAATTCTGGCTCTTAAGACCATCGACTGAGTCTTGCAACTCGGTCTTTTTGGGGACAACTCATCAGATTTGGAAAGCCTTTCAATCTGACGCGTCCTGATCAACGTCCCTCTGCGTCCGCAGGTGGACGGCAGGGTGAGCTATGGCAACGACGCGCTGATGCCAGATCAGGCCTACAGCTCTGCTCCCATGGAACCCGGCCTGGACGGACTGGGCTTCATTCACCCGGAGAGCTTCAACCAGCCAAACACTGAGAACCACGGTAATGCTTAACGTAAAGGGGGTCTAGTTGAAGTAAAATCTGTGAATGGTGAACCTCTTTAATTAAAAAGAAAAAAAAATTGGACTACTGTATTTTCCGGACTATAAGGCGCACCGGATTATAAGACGCATGCTAAAACATACGGTCAACAACAACAAAAAAAAGGTAACAAAATCAAAACAGTAAGTTTAGATTAACTTTATTCGACTATGTAACAATACTCAAATTATTTTTTATTTTTCTTCCACAAATCCATCAAAGTCCTCCTCTTCTGAATCTGAATTGAACACCTGGGCGATCTCACCATCAAACATGCCAGGTTCCCTCTCATCATTGTCGGAGTCAGTCTCGTTGCCAGGTGGCTGTTCAGCAATCATGTCGGCTTTCGAAAGGCAGATACATTAGCCCAGGCATCCACAATCCACTCACACATGGTGGCGTAACTCGCCTGGCGCCGTCTCCCCGTCTTAGTAAACGTGTGTTCGCAGTCTGTCATCCATCACTCCCACGCCGCTCGCAACTTCTTTTTGAACTCCCTGTTTACACCAATGTCCAGCGGCTGGAGTTCTTTGGTTAATCCTCCTGGAAACTCTGAATCAGTTTGCTTCACTTCCTTTTTCACAGTAGCAGTGAGATGGGTGTGCATGGCATCGCAGATGAACAGGGACGGTGATGCGTGGAAAAACCTATCTGGTCTTTACCGGAGGTGTATGCTGCAGAACTCGGAAAACAATTCTCTGATTGGTTTATCGCTGCTGGCGTACTTACTGTACACTTTACGTCTCTGTGTCAGGGACAGATTTTGGAGTTCATTGCACACATAAGGCGCACCGGATTATAAGGCGCACTGCTGATTTTTTAGAAAATTTAAGGCTTTTAGTGCGCCTTATAGTCCGGCAAATACTGTACTTCAACCCTTGTGCATGCGAGGACTGAGGCAAATGATACAAATGATACGGGTGTGGGGTCAGCTGGACCCCATTTGTAAACACAAGGGTTACATTCAGTATCTTTGAAAAGCAGCTACATTTCATTAGTATTGCATGACCTGCTCGGGTGTTTAGGTGTCATTACTCGTCTCAGCAGCTCTCTCCCACACAAACAAATGTCTGAGCGGCTGTCGCCAATGCCGTCCCTCTTTCGCTTTCAGCGTCTTTGTAAAACTGTTTGTTTATTATGGAAAACCCAGATTCATTAGCTCAACGTATCACGCGAACCGCCTGTAATTTAGAGTGGCTAGTTGCATACATGAAAGCAGGTTGTAATTGTTACAAACCACATGATTCCCTGAGGGTGAAACTTGAATAAAGTCACAGACAGTAGAGAACCCACCACCGCTATCAGGAATCCAGTTTAGTCTTATTCAACATTGTTGTTGTTTTTTTTTTGCTCTTTCTCTGCAGTTGAGCCTGTCGATGCTCGTCCCAATCCAGACAGAGGACTCCCGACACGACCTGGTATGTATCTGTGTTTGCAACACCCTTTTTGATTTCTTTAAAAAAAATTTTAAAAAAAAAGTTTAAAACACGTAAATATTTTACCAATCATTATTTTAGGGATTTGTTCACCTGTTCTGAACTAAAATATCTCAACAACTTTTTGGTGAACTGCTGTTTTACTTCGCACAGATACGGGTAATTCTCATTTTATGGATTCTTTTTTGTTTTTTTATTCTGGTACCAACATGAATCTCAATGTCATATTTTCCCACAACTGAAAAGAAAAAAAAATCATGGAAAATGTTGCATAACTAAAGTGTTTTTCTTTTCTTTTTTTTCTTCTTTTTTTTTAGCTGTAAAATGCTGCTGACTACGATGTGCAGGCATAAAAAAGCATGTTATAGTTAAAAAGGCCCATTGTCTCTAGTTTTATAATGAAAAACTGAGATTGGATTTTACTTTCCCTCTCTGTTTCTCACCGTGTTTTTACTAGACATAATAAGAACAAAAGAAATGCAACTGGCTTGGAGCCAAGTCTTTCTGATCCTTTTTAATTTGTTTGGAAATAGTTTCCACTCAGACCGGTCGGACAAAGGACCCATATTTATGTGCATATTTCAGCCTATCAGATTCATCGCATTGTTTGTCCAGGAAAGTACCTGCTCATGTGCCCTCACTGCATTCATATCTTGAGAATCGAAAATATTTAACTGCTGGGCTTGAAGGGATTTTTTTTGTCCCTTTCAAGCTATAAAACCAGTCTTGTCAATCATTATGTTGTTGCCTTGTGAGTTTCTTTTTTCTGTAAGGAGGTGTGTGACAAAGCACTGCTAGTGAAACTTTCTGTTTTCAAATTAGGTTGATTTGTCTGATTTCAGTTTCTGCCTTGAAGCCAGAAGAGATGCCAGAGGTGCGGATGGACACCGAAGAGAGGCAGAGCGCTGGATACGAGGTTTACCATCAAAAACTGGTAGGGATCGCCAAGCGGGTCATTCCCTCCTCCCAGAGTAGTTTAGAACAGGGTTCAGGCGCAGTCTGGAACCCGGATTGAGCCTTTTCCTGGTCTGGATTAAAATTTAAAAATAAATAAAACCTAAAATGAACACATTCAGATTTCTAGACTTTTTTTCTCTCTTTTGTGCTCTGCCAGATCCATCCATCATAAATTCAGGGGCTGGAAAAACTGAGCTCTCTGAAAAATTATACCAAAGAAATGAATAAAGGGGTAGAAACTCTATTGTTATTGAAAAAAAAAATCTTTATCTTTTGGCAAAACCTTTTATATATCCTATGATAGCAAAGATTGCAACCATGCATCCATACCGAAAAGACTTTTTAAATGTCACTTTACCAGATACAAGAAAGCTGTTTAAATGCTGCAAAATTAAGAATGTTTATAGCATTTAGTCCCTTTTATTGTACTGATAAATAGTCCTGACTGATGCATCTCATCTGTAGGTGTTTTTTGCTGAGGACGTGGGGTCCAACAAGGGCGCCATCATCGGGCTCATGGTTGGAGGGGTCGTCATAGCGACAGTCATCGTCATTACTTTGGTGATGTTGAGAAAGAAGCAATACACCTCCATCCATCACGGTGTAATCGAGGTAAAAAAAAGGCTAAAACCTACATGACGTGATACTCTATAAACTTCCTCCTTCATAAACTCCCTTTTTTCCCCCCCGTGATTTATTTATTTATTCATTAAATTTTTTGATCTGTTGAAGGTGGACGCAGCAGTGACTCCCGAGGAGCGTCATCTGGCCAAGATGCAGCAGAACGGCTACGAGAACCCGACCTACAAATTCTTCGAGCAGATGCAGAACTGAGGGACCGCTGGCTGACGTGTCCTTCAGGTGTGCCCCGCCCGGCTCCACACGGTCACCGTCGCGCTCTCTTCCATTCTGATCCCTTGCCCTCAGCCCCTGCAGGGACCACGAGGGCGGCTGGTCAAAGCTGGTTTTTAACGTTGCGAACAGAAAAGATCAATCTTTTGCATGTCTCAGTCAGGGGTTTGGGCCAAAGGATGCTGGCATGGAACGAATATCTTTTTAATCTTTTTTTTTTTTTTTTTTGCTTGATTGTACAGAGCTAAAAAATCCCCCCCCCTCCCCACTCACCCACCCCTGAAGCAGACAAAGGTACCCCGGTTTACCTGCACGTTTCAGCCAATCACAACTCCTCGTGGTGTTTGTACAGGAAATACCTTTGTGTTTATATGACATCATCATCTGCCCTCAGATAACAGGACGGGGCTCTTAGAGCTCCTTGCCGCATGACTGAAGTGTTTCAGGCAGGTTTTACATAAAAAGCAGAAAACAAAGAAAAAAATATATCCTCAATCAAAATATAATAAAAGCTGATTATATTTAATGTTTTTTTTTTCATGTGTAATATAATAAGCCAGAGATTAGCTGTAAGTACATGTAGTGCATGGCATTTATCGAAGTATGCGGATGTCCTGAGAGCGGACCTCCCTCTTAGATATTTTAGCAGGATTGTATATTTCTAGTGTCAACTTTGTGATCTTGTGATATGAAGGAGAAAAAAAAAAAGTATTGAGAATATGTTCTGCTTTGTCGTCGCACAGACTTGCTTTAATTGAAGTCCACTCATCTCCATGCTTCACTGTTGCGTTAGCTGCATGGGCCAAATGCTCTCTCCTCGTGTGAAATATGAAGTCTACTAGAATCTGAAAGGAAGAAGATCGTGTTACTGTTTGCGTTTCTATGCACTCGTCATTTCCGAAGCCTGGCTATTATCACCAAATATGAATAGCGTTAATTTTGATGCCGACTGTCGCCGCACTTTGTGATTTCTTCTTTTGTTTTAGAACGAAGATTGAAGGGGTGGTCCAGGATTTTACAACGAGGTTCTGTGGAAAGATCGTAAGCAGTTACTATCTTACCTGCTGCGGATAATTTAGTGTTCACCTCACTCTAACCCGCCATGCTGCGTGTGAGTCGTGCGAGCGTTGTTACACGCACAGCAAAGGTCTCGGAAGAAATCTGAATAAAAAAACATGTGAAAATATCAAGTTTTACTCTTTAAATTGACTAATATGAACAAAGCACCAGCCACAGCAGCAAGGAGAAACTCTGAGCTGCTTATGTGTCTGCATCTGTAATATTAGGAGGGTAAAAATGCAATTTAATTCAGCAGTAAAAATATGTTTATGCTTTTAAACCTGCTGTGAGAAAATCATGTATTTGACTATTATTTATTTATACTGTACATATTTGAGCCATAGTCACATTTGCAGTCGGTGGGTATTTCTACAAAAGCGATTGATTATTTACCTCAGAGGTGGATATTGGAGGCGGTGCGCCACCGATGACCTTCCTGTGTGAAACGCGTCCTGAGAGTGGAACGTGTAAAAGCTTTTCTGGTCAGACAAGTGAGGCAGTTTAAAAATTAGCATTTTGCACTATTTTTCTTACGCTGTTGATGTTTTTTAAAGTTTTGGAGTTGCTTTAAGCCTCGAGGATCAAATCACCTGGATTGATACTACATGAAGACACAAACCGTAAAAACAGTGATGTACCGCTAGTAAGATAGTAACTGCTTCGAACCTCGAACAGAACCTCGCTTCTGGATCCTGAGCTGTCCCCCTTTCATGTTAAGCTTTAGAAAGCTGTTTTTGTTTTTAGTAAAGCATATCATTCATGATTTAACTAATATCTTGATTGTAAATACTTGGCCGACGGAGAATCTGGGTTTGTTGAGCCGCTGAAATGGTGGTTTCCAGTTGTCTGCTGTTTTGTCCTCGTCTAAAAGTCCCCCTCCTCTCCCCCAACTCCTCACATCGACCCCTTTTGTTTCCGATCTGGCAGCAATATTGTACAGAGCAGGAGTTGTTAATCAGACATTAGCGAGGGGCAGTACTTACTGGAAAGTGCTCAGATGTTCTCCAGACGGTTCTGTATTTACACCACAAACATTCCTTCACCAAATCAACCCTTTCTATTTTTCTACATCTGCTGTGTATACATGTACAGTGCTGTAACGTTTCTTTCCTTGCATATCTGTTGTAATGCTCCTCGAAGCGAGAGACGTGTTCAACTCCCCTTAAGTTATTATAATAGTTACCATGAATGTGACATGCATATATTGCATTATGAAAATACAACACATATCACCTCTGCAAATGTACAGACACCAACTGAAGCTCTTAAATCAGGTGAATGTTTAATTAAATGCTTTTTCCCCCTCTTCATTGGTTTAGTGACCTTCCTTTTGTGTGTGGTTTGAAACATTTGCTTAAAGTCAGAAAAGCTTTCTACACTCCCCCATTCCATGAATAAATTTTGAATGTACATATGACTGTGGCTTTTTTTTTTTTTTTTTTTTTCTTTTGTGGAGCATAAGTGGGGGTGGGATTATCTGGAAAAGATTTACAGTTCACACAACCTTGATAGAAAATGTTTGTTACTTTATTCCCCCCTAGTGGACACAAAAGGGTCCAGCACTTCAGGGAAACGCACTAAATAAAATACAAAATGGGTCTTATGAAAATACACTTGCCTTCGTGGCTATCAAAAACCATGACATATTTGTATATACAGTGGATTACAGACAAGGAGCGCACAACACCGAGCCTCTACTAGCAGTTTCAGTCACTCATTCAGCCATGCACACGACAATCTGCAATTATAAACACATTCTTTCCTCATCCTGAGCTCGCCTCTGTTGGGTAGAGTTAGTGAAAAGCTAAAAAATACATCACCTGCCTCAGTCTAAGCTGAATTTAACTGTGTATACAACAAAGTTTTTTTTTTAAAGCCACATACTGATCGGGGATCAGCTTTGTGTCTAAAGGGACGCATGATTTCCAGCCAGCGCCGCGGCCTCCTTCAGCTGTCCTTGTCCAGTGTGGTGGCCAGCGTGACTGTGGTGATGGGCTGTCCGAGGCCGTGCATCTGAATGCGAGCCAGTTTCTTCTGCTCGCACTCCGTCACCAGGCTGTTGAGCTCGGCGGCGCTATAGCCAATCAGAGTCCTCAGGTCGCACACAAACTTGTAGACGAAGCGCTTGCCCTGCACTTTGCTGATCATGTCCCCGTCGTAGTAGTACCTGAACCGCAACAGGCAAAGTTGATAATTAGTAAAAAAAAAAAAAAAAAAATAGTGTGCACTCTATTTTTAAAGCTGCAGTATATAACTTTTATTTTAAAAAAGTATATTTTACATAACTGTTATAATGACAGTATAAGACAAATAATCTATGGGGGGAAAAAAACAAAAACGAGTTCCTCAGCTTTCTCCCAGTGCTACCTGTGATGAGAGCGCTAAAATCTCCCTTCTGGCTCTGATTGGTTGTTTTTGACTGTGAATTGTCAAAAATTCACAGTCAAAAATTAAAAATTAAACTGTCACAACAGTATAAATAAAGCTGTTAAAAAAGTAAAAAAAAAAAAAAAACTTTTTATTAAAGTTACATACTGCAGCTTTAAGGCAGTATGTAACTGCCTTAAAGTTACATACTGCCTTAAAGCAGTATGTAACTTATGTAA